CGAGCATCCGCGCTGCAGTGGCTAATCGATTTAGCTCCGTTCACTCTTCACCATCCCTGCAGCCTCAGGAAAGTCGGGGTCTCCTCCTCAGTTCATTGTCATTCCACAGACAAACCGGCCCAGTTTCAATTCAACAGACGGGTGGAGGAAGCTGTCTGAGACAAAGACATCATCGCAGCTCAAAAACACGGAGGATCCGGGCTTATTTAAGTCCTCAAAGCGACAAAGCGTCCTTACACTGGGCTTTTTGTTCTTTACCCTACAAAAGTCAATCTTTACATCTTCAATTTGAGCAAAACGTTTACTAGAAACAAGACTTGTCAAGTTTAAACGTTTAATTGGAGGAGTAGAAGTGTCAGCTGGTTGTGGAGCTTCAAACAGAAGCTCAGACCCCGGGATCTGCTCAGTGATGCAAACCAAGATGGATGAGGAACCAGCTGAGCGAGAACGAAGACAAATAATTATTCTGTTCTGAGGAGAAGGCGAGGAGGAAGAGGAGATGAAGATGAGAGAGGAGGAGGAAGAGAAAGGACCTTCGGCGTTCATCATTATCAGCCGACGCGACCAGAACCATGTTTAATTTTAACTAAACTGAAGCCAGAAATAGAAACTGAATGTAAACAGGAAGTGGTGATTTTCAAAACTCTAACAATTTGATTTATTGAACGTCACAGATTGATGATCCCTGAACATGTAAAACAACAACTCTATCCAAAGTCTTTGAAGATTCAGAAATCTGTTTTTAATTTCAAAAGTTTATTTTTTATACATTTTAATTATTCTTCACACCCTGAATAATCTCCTCCCAATTGACAAGAAGTAAGTCTGCAGCACAGAACAAGACAAGAACTAGATTAGGATTAGGCCAGGATTAGGCCAAAAACAGACCAGAATTAGGCCAGAGCTACACCAGGACTAGGAAAGGATTAGACCATAAATAGACTGGATTAGACCAGGACTAGACTAGGATTAGACCAAGGCTAGGCTTAAATCAGGACTAGGCCAGGATTAGCCCAAGACTAGGCCAGAGCTAGACCA